TGACAAGGACGTCGCATAAGCTCGCTGGCAAACTATAATGGTCAGCACACGCTTTCTTCAAGTTTGTGAGCGTGAGATCCTCATAAGGGAATGCCACAAATTCTCTAGGCTGTACGGGACGAAATGTCTGTTTGTTGACTGGCTCTGAAGCCAAACGTTGCAAGATTAACTCATGCGGAGCGGAACGAGATTTCTTGCTCTTGCCCTTTCCGCGAGGATCCGGTCGCTTCCTTTTCGCCTTCATCTCCTCTTGTAAACGGTTCCATACAGTTTGCCTTTTATTCATCTCGATAAAAGGACTTTAGATGGGTATAATATATGAGGCACGTATGAGGAAAGCACTAGCTTGCAGCTCACACGCGCGAGGAACCACCCAGGCCAGGTACAGTGCTTGCCGCCGTTTTGAGATGACTCCGCTGATGTAACGTGTCGCAGGCTATGATAACGATGGGTCACTTTACGACATTTCATTTTGAGAAAAGAAATTTATTGTGATTTCAGTTCGGACCAGCGTTATCATAGCAAAATAAAAATCAATTTGCATTTCTACTAAGGGATTTTAATATGTTGGTTTTTTTAAAACTATTTTTTTCGATTTTTTTTTTTTTTTACTATTATTATTATTTTTTTTAATTTAAATTTTCTTTTATTTATTTTTTTTGGTTGAAATTTATTTACATTTTCATTTTGTTTCTTTATTTTTTTTTATTCAAATTTAATCTTTAATTTCCATCTTTCAATTTTTATTTTCATTAATTTGTTTTTGGTTTTTTTTTATATTTATGTATATTTATTTATTTATTTTGATCTTTTTTTTAAAATATGTTTTCAATTTTCTTAAATAAAACAGGCATTTCCAGTTAGTTTTTCTATGATAATAATGGGCCACCATACACTACTGTTTCTGAACACTTTCTCTCTGACTCAAACTATTCTCATACTGACAAGCAGTTAATTCCACTAGAGAAAATTCATTCTTTACGTGACTCAGTTCGTAAGGCCAGGGAGTCGCATTTGATAGATAAGGCCATGACCCTTGAATCCCATGGCCTAAACCGCCGCAACGAATTATTGTATTATTGTATTATTGAATTAGTATTTTTCCTTTCCAGTTTTTGTGTTGTACGTCATTTTCGGCTCTCCCTTTTAAACAACTTTTATCGCGACATTCACCACCTATATAATATTGTGGTTGCTACATAAGTTCAGTAACATTGGTAAACCTGAAGAAGGCCGGTATGGCCAGCCGAAATATTGTTATAAAAAACAATACACGTTGTATTAAATCAGCTTTCCAGTGGTCTTTGGACTTCTCGTTCTTGGTTCCTTTTTAATGCATTCGCCAAGTGTAATGATATTTACCTGACATATTTCTGCGCAGGTTACACAGACAATCAAACAACCTTCACAGAGAACTCGTCCACTTTTCCATTGGACTGTCCTCTTGTTATAGATGTTCCTGTCGGCGTAGAAGCCACGGCTTTTTTATTGTCTTTCCTTACCGTCTTTGGAAACTCTCTGGTTGTGATCGCAATCGTGAAGGACCCGTTCAGTGAGCTGAGGACTATTCCAAACTACCTCATCTTGAATCTGGCGGCATGTGACCTAATCGTAGGTATTCCAAGCAAACTGTTACTGTCTTTATCTCACTTTTATGTATCATATAATTTGTACTACGTGGCCTTCACTTCGCTGTATACGTCCATGGTATCATCTGCCTTGACTGTACTAACACTAGCATTTGACCGATACATCATGGTCGAAGGGCCACTTAAAAGCCAGGAATATCTGATTCACTCTACAATGGAGGACAAAATTCTTAGGACAATTAACACGATCTGCCTTAATTTTTCCCCCTTTCCCCCTCTCCCCTGAGCAATGTTGTAGTTTGTGCACCCCTGTACACTTTACCCTGTCCTAAAAGTGTTTCTTCATCCCAACATTGTTTGGAGGGGAGAGGGGAGGGCCAGTCGCGGTATCCAAGTGGTTAGAGAAGTGTACATTATGCTACATCTGAACATTTGATAAGTTAAGGATGTGGAAGGAAGGTTTTCCATAACCGTTCCAAGGATTTTTGTCCTCCATTGTCTCAACAATATTCCAGGTGGTATATATGAAATTTGGAAGGAATTTTATAGTCAAAAGTTGGGAGACCAGTTTTCTCTGTTTCCATTTTTAGAAGTAGGCTATGGCAGGTACCTTATTGTGTGCCTGTTTTGAAAACAACTCGGAGATGGGGGCAGGTAGGGGAACACCATGGTGTGATATATGATACAAAGAGTCGTGTCGTTTCATTATATTATTATCTATTCGTTTTTATGTCATAAAACCATCCTTGTCAATGCAAAAGAGAGTGATTTAAATTCACAGTCTGAGATTGTCTGGTTTTCATGCCTGAAATCTAGTTATTGTATCCAAAGGGTTAAAAGTAGGTGGGGAGGGGCCATGTACTTCGAAATTCGTTCCCAGGCTTAGCGCATTATTCTAACGGTCTTTGTGGGGATCGTGATATTCGCCATCGCAGAGTAAAAATGGAATGTCTGCAAGCTGGGAGCCAACGCGTTGTGTATTTAATTACATATAGTCGAGCGGATGTTGTTAAGTTTCCTTCTAAAGAAAAGTTTTTCCAATGCTGTATTACAAGCTTGGCAGAATTTTGGCGTTAGAGTTGTACAGTGGGTAACGTGTATTGAGGCTCATCAGAACACAGATAATGCCGAAACTGGGCAGGAGATGAATCTATACCATTATCATATGGCTATCAAACTGGAAAAGAGGGTCCGGTGGTTTCAAGTACGAAAGTATTTAGACGAGAACTTCGGGATAAAGGTGAATTTCAGCGATAATCACACCACCTACTACAGCGAGTACCGTTACGTCACGAAAGAAGACAAGGACGCTTTGCACTTGCCTTGCGATCCAGCTTTAACAGACGTTCCTCCTCAAACCGAATCTGCTGTGGCCACGAAAAAGAGGAAAGCGAAGGCTAAGCAACAGCGCCGTAACTCTAAGAAAAGAGGAGGTGATCGCCTGAGCACTTTTGACGTGTGTGAGCTGGTGCAAGCCAAATCCATAAGCTCACGCTTAGAGCTGGTGTCTTTAGCGGCGGCTCAAGTTAGAGAAGGGAAAACCGCGTTGGCCGAATTTATTGCCAACCGGGGAAGTAAAGCGGTCGATGAAGCGATTCAGTTAGCCAAGGAATTTGCCGAGGCCGAAACACGTTTAAATCGGTCTAAAAAAACCCGCATTGAACTGCTAGAAGAGGAGCTGACCGGGGAGTGCATTGAGGGTTGTGAAGGGAGATGGCTTACAGCTGCGGAAGAGTTACTCCAGCGCCACGAGATCGAAAAGTGTTCATTCTGCAATGCAATTTACAGTGCACTGGAAAAAGGTAGAGGGAAGTATCGCAATGTTTATATACATGGTCCTGCAAAATGCGGGAAATCGTTTATTGTATCGCCACTAAAAGTTATTTACCAGGCTTTTTCGAATCCCGCCACTGGTTCATTTGCCTGGATAGGTGTGCTGAAGAGGCCGAGATTATATGTCTTAATGATTTTCGGTGGCATCCTAAGATCATCGCCTGGGCCGATTTTCTGCAAGCTCTAGAAGGGGATACAGTTCACTTACCGGCGCCCAAAAATTTATGTAGCAAAGATATTGAGCTATCAAAAGATACCCCGTTTTTTGCGACCTCGGATGCCCCGTTGGTGCTAGTGAAAGGGGGTGCGATCGACCGCGTGAATACAGAAATGATGAGCTGCCGATGGGTTTTTTTCAATTTCTGGAAGCAAATACCACATGCAGAACAGGAGGATATTCCCCCGTGTAGATTTTGCTTCGCAAAATTTATTTTGCGTGATTTGCGTGGCTGATGTGACCCCTTTTTACCTTGCATGACTAAAACTTGACATTCGAAAGACAACTGTTGTCACAGTTCTCACGTACAGTTCTCGGGCTAAAAAACTTTTTTTTACGCTGTTTTGACGGCCCGTACAATCCAGTTATGTACTTGTCATTATTGTTGTTCGAGTTCCCCCTGTAAATATTGGTTTTAGATAAGCAATTATACGCGGACAACGATTTTGGCAACAGTTCTCGCCTTAAACTAATAAAGAAATGAAACGTTAACAATCTCCTTTTAAATGTTTAACCCGAGAACTGTTGTAAATCGCAAAAGCCATGTGCTTTATATATTACTTGTACAACATTCAGTGGCAATGAAACATTTTATTACTGTTTTTATACAGCTGGATCATAGATCAAAATTCTTTAGCGCGATATTTCACATAATGTCGCCGAGAACTGTGTCCGAGAAATGTTATATGTTAAAAAAAACACAGCGACTCAATGTAACGCAATCCTGTGCTCTTTTCCAAAAAAACATTATGATTTAATACAAGTGGCAACTATTTTGTAAGGTTAAAAGTTCATTCATTCATGATTATCAATCAAAGTAGCTGTGGTTCGGAAAAATGAGTCTTCATTGTTTTAGTATAAGAAAAATAGTATGAAGGTGACATTCAATTGCGTGATTAATATTTTATTCTTTCGCCCTTAGAGGCGAGAATAGCTGTAATCCTTCGGTTCATACTAGAGATAGTTTTATCTATAGTTTCAACGGGAATATTCCCAAATGCTTCCAAAACTCGAACGTTAAATTCATCAAAGGATTCCCTCACAATGTTTCTGGAGATTGCCTCCTGATCTAAGTAGCGCTTAACAAGATGGAAAATATTCTCTATGGGATTCAGATCTGGTGACCGGGGTGGGATTTCATGAAAGCTTCCCTCAATATCTTCAAGGGCGAGTTTCGCGGCCCGACTGGTCTGTGAGGGGTCGTTGTCCATAACAAATAAGCGTCGACCATCTGCTTTTGGACCAGCTTTTGCAAAAGTAAGGTTGAAATGTTCCCGAATAAATGTTGCAAAAAATTCACCTGTCATTTTCTCGTACGGTACTTTTAAGATGACTCCTTTTCCGTATGCTATGGCGACGATAACATGCAAACGCCGTCCACCCGCTAAATCTTTACATCCTTTGGTTGTAAGTTGAAGCCCTTCCTCTCGTTTTCGCCACACCCTGGCTCTGTTAGAGGCCGCACCACTTTTCGGGTTATACTTGTGAACAAACGATACCCCGTCCAAGTAAAAGGAAATTTCATTTTTCCAGAAATCAGGATTTCTGATCAGCTCTTGCTTCATCTTACGTGCAAATTGCAGTCGCACTTTTTCATCATTGTCACTAAGAATCCCCTTTCTCCTAGCCGAAAAATAATGGTATCCAAGTTCATTCAAATAGCGCGAATACGTCTTCCTACTGGCCACTTGAAAACTAAGACCACTCTCTTCAACTAAACTTCTCACAGTAACGTGTACATTATTCCGTCTAAAAGACTTTAAGGTACCAATCAGTAAACGCATCTTTCTTTCGCTTACATTTCGTGGTCTTCCCCGCTTCTTGTCACTTGGCATCCTCGTCAAACTTCCACGTTGAAACTCACTACTGCAAATTCGGTGCGCAGACGATTTTGATATTCCACATGCGTCAGCGATTCTTCGGTAAGAAAATTTACTGTATGTTCTCAGGTACCAGGCAAAAGCCCTTTTCTCTGCTGCGATTTGTTGGGTAAAAACCATACTTGCGTGTACATGCAATTATTCCCAAACCAGACGAAGAGTAATTTTTCATGGAAAGTTGAACAACGTCACACTCGATACCGTTTTCGAACTCTGCTAAAGCTCGCGCAAACATTACTTTTGGTCACGCCATATCCTTTCACATTGTAAATAACAATTCCTTGTCTTATTATGGTGTTTTTTCTATTTTTCAAAACGTTAATAGCACTTTTGTGCGTTAGGTAGTATTCAGACATGTAGCCTGCGAAAACATCCGTTTCTCCTCGCTCTTCGCCGCTGGGGACGTTTCGCGCGGAGGAACGTCTGCGACTCAGCAACAGAAATTCCATACTAATGACGTAAAATCTGTCCGGAATCCGGTCAGAAGCGCTGATTGGTCGACGCAGCACTTACATTGTTTTAGCTATTGTTTATGAATGACAGACAAAAAACAAAAGGCCACAAAGGTCAAATGTAAACGCGAAGAATCTCTGACAAAACAGTCAATTTTTGTGGAATATAGACTTATGTACAAGAAGCATTTGGATTTTGCTGGAGTTCGTGGGCAGATCAACACAACACTTTACCAAAATCGACCGGAAGAAACGTAAAATTAGACAAATTTATATTTGGAACCCCATGACTTCCGGATTTAATATGTAAACATTGATTGGCGTCATCAGTATGGAATTTCTGTCGCTGAGTCGCAGACGTTCCTCCTCGCAAAACGTCCCCAGCGGCGAAGAGCGAGGAGAAACGGATGTTTTCGCAGGCTAGATTCACTCACACTTAAGACTCGTCATTGTCTACGTATGGCTGATTGCCCTGTGCGTGGCACTGCTTTCTCTTCTGAATAGATGCAACGAGGCAGAGTACAGGCTCATAATCACCGACGCAATCGGATTTCCAGTCATGGCCCTCATGTTTCTTATATACTCACGGATATTTCTCTTGATGCAAAAATGGATTCGGCAAGATCTCGATCTTTCTATTTCAGAGAGTCAAAGATTGCTAGGCAGTGACAATCTTTCCGAAAACATTCGTACGCGTGAAAGGCACATCGCTTTTTCAGTGTTCCTGTTTGTTAGTGTTTTTGCCCTCTGCTGGACACCATGTTTTGTTATGGAAAATGTATTTTACAAATATAGGAGATCTCCCACTCTGGCAACTACCGCAGATTGGGTGAGGCTTTCGGGACTGTTGAGTTCATTGTTGAATCCCGTGATTTACGCATTAAGATACGAAAAGTTTAGAAAGGCGATTCGCCAGATTTTTGTCATATTGGTTTTATCAGACTTACCACGTTCGTTTTCCTTAACTTGTTAAAATATTTTCAAAGTAAAGATAAAACGTCTGAGGGCTACTTTTTTAGGGAATTAGAGGAGCGACAAAACATTATTAAAGGGACAGGATAACGTTGCTTATTTTGTCATCTACGAGCTTTAAACTACAAATGATGAAAGAAACGTCTTTAAATGTCAAATCACGAGGTACATATATTGTAACAAATATCGATAATCTCGTAAAAAGGCGTGCCTTTCCCTTTAATCTACTTATCCACATACAAGTTCTCCAGACTGATCTTCATACCTTTCCCTAAAGAATTACTTGAGAGAATTTGATAAAAGATCAAAGCATAATTTATTATTGGTGATCAGTAATTACTTCTTGTATAACACCATTTTATCTTAAAAATGTAATTAGTTCGCTCTCGAGGAAACAACAGGGCCATTTATACGAGGAAAAATAAGACGCGAACTTTCCGTATAAAGGGCACATTTCGTCTAAAATAAGCCGCGGCTTAGCTAAGACTCGTCTTATTAGATAAGACATGCTCGTATAAATGGTACAGTTCGCGTCTTATTTAAGACGCGTCTTATGTAAGACGCGTTTTATTTTTCCTCGTATAAATGGCCCTATTTAATGCTGGTAGCAGTAGTACAGGAGGGATGAAATTGACCTTTTTTGCAGTGGAATGTCATTAATTTGCGGTATGTGGAATACATCATAGCCTTTTGTCCTTATCTCATGAATAAAATGCGGAATCTCATTAAGATTAGGTCGTGTGCTATTTTTAGCTGGTTTAAGTTTTCTAGTTACTTTAAGGTCGATAAATGTCTTCGTTTTCGATTGGTTACTTAGAAAATGAGAAGCGTTCTCATTGGTTAACCCTCGGACATACAAGCGAAATAATTCCCCCATCGTGGTACAAGGGGGGATGGAACCCCTCCCTGGAGTTTTTCCAGTATTTTGAAAAACAATTTTATCTTTAGTGGGAGGCTTTGATCTTCTTAACAAGATGGGGTATATTTTATTGGTTGTAGCGCTGCTGGAGGCCTATGGCGTCACCAACAATGGTCGCCATCTTGGCCGCCATATTGGATTTTACCAAGAATTAGAAATCAGTTTAAAACCAGGAGAAATGGTACCGTAAAATTCCGAATATTAGCCCCTCCATGTATAAGCCCCTCCAAATATAAGCCCCCCAAACGGGTAACGCAAAATCCCTCCGTTAAAGCGCCCCTCCAAATATAAGCCCCCTGGGGACTTGTACTTGGAAAATTGCCCTCAAATATATAGTAAAACAAAGCAAAAACGGTAGATTTATTCCCAGTTATAAGGCTAGCCCAATCGATTCTGACACGCAAATTTCCCTCCGTAGATAGGCCCCTCAAAAAGGGCCTTTGAAAAATATAAGCCCCTGGGATTTTACGGTATTTTTTTTGTGCTTTACGTGAAAAATAACACATAAATAAGCACTTTGCATAATTTTAGCCACAAGCAGGAGCCCAAGATTTACTTTATTGTTGAAACAAGTTGAAAAAAAAGCATGTATTTTTACCTCAAACAGGGTTGACCACCTGCTACTTGTGATGTCATGTCTCGTAACCACAGGAACTGACCATCACTGAACTTGCCTCAAAATGTACGCAAGAGATGAACGAACAGCTACTGAAATTCGTCAGGTGCCACAGGTGGTCTGTTTTACCAGATTTAACGAGAAATCATGAGGGTATTTTTAAGTAAAAAATACTATACGATTGCTGTCGTTGTCATGTATACATGCATCTTTTTAATCAGTGGCATTATTCCTGGTTAACTTTTGTCGTTTCCTATCAGCGAAATATTTTGAAAGATGTTACAAATAGAAATGGCATAAAGGCTACCACAATAAAATTTTTTTTTTTTTCATTCCGGCGGTGTTAAACTATCCCAGAAAAACATGATGTTTGTAGTTGCGAGGGAGGAGTGAGATAAGTGCCGAATTAAAATCTTCTAGACTGTATTTTCGTAAGGCCTGAAAGTAATACGGAACCTCTATAAAAGAGTTTATTCAGCCATGTTCAGAGTTCATATAGAAATTGTTGTGCTAGAACAGTAAACAACATGGGTTTCCACATTACTCCACCACATTACTCCATAAGAAAATGCGAAATATATGCACAATGAACCAACTTTCAAACAAGAAAGGGGCAAAAAACATGTAAACCATGTAAGAATATGGACAGCTTTTGTCGCATTTATCTACGGGGATAAATTTAACAACTGTTTCCCAACATTACTCCATTTAAACAGTGCCCCATAAAGGTCAATTAGCAAAGTTAGTTTGATTTTAACGCTATCCATGGAGTATATAATGTCGTATTTTACTTAGAATTAAGCTAAAATGTCTATTAAAATTCGTTTGATTAAGTCCTTCCAAAGCCCCGAACAAGTCAATTAGGCTATTTTGTCCTTAGCGCTACTATAAAGGAACTATTTTCGGCTACGAAAATGGAGAAATGTGGTGGGGGATGACTTTGCGTGTGCTACCCTTTCTAATTAGGTTAACGAAGACAATAGACGCCTTAATCTAAATCAAGAGCTTACTTTGTTCTCGTTTTCTGAAACCAGTTTCGAAAAGTAGTGTCACAAGGGCTTAACTAGAGTTATTCAGCCAGAGAAAGTAGCCTCTAGAATTCGGCAAATTTCCACTCAGCCTTATAGTTTGCTCGCGTGGCAAATGGGCATGTGCTGAATGTTGTAAGGGATGGGGAGCTGCAGGGGCGGATCCAGGATTTTTTTTAGGAGGGGGTGCACTCGTCTCCTGCTCTACTTCAGCACCAATAAACCACATAGTTTTTTTTTTGGCAGAATGCCAGTTGTATTAGAAAACCGCAGGTCATCTCGGGGGGGGCACCCCTGCACCCTCCCCCTAGATCCGCCCCTGGGCTGCAATGTAGCGATCCGAATGATTTTGGGGGGAACTGGTGAACGCACTATATCTTGCTTTAACATTTGGAGCATATGAGCCTATGCTATAGTCAATAGCTTTCACCGAAAATAATCTTGCATTTGTATTTGGCCCTCTTCCGGTGCCCCGGAAAGAGCAATAGTTGTACTTATTACCGGGTTGCAAAACATGCCGAATATAAACAGGTGTGTGCGCCAAAAACTGTCTTAACAAGGTACAGCAAATATTTTTTTCAACAGAGTACTGTTTACGAGTGTTTTTTGAAGACGTTTCTACTGACAAAAATCGTCGATTTTTGACCTTTAAAGGCCACACCCAGAATTTTCAGACAATCAGAGACAAAATTAGTTGGGAAGGTTGTACAACTTAACAGTAGTCAATTTTAATCCTGAAAAACGAGAGTTTTCTCTTTTGCTAAATATCCCACGTCCCCCCTATTCAATGTTGGGATATAACGGAACAATTGCGCGCACAAACATTAACGTTTTGATCAACATTGGGCCAGGGGCGGGGGGAGGAAGAAAAAGGAGAGGTAAAAAAGGCAACCTTCCCAACACTTTTGACGATGATTGAGGCTCTTTTAAAAACGGAAGACAATATTTTACTTACCTATCCCTCCTGATCCTCCTTCTCCTCGTTTTTATTGTTTTCATTCCTCCTCCACATTTCTATTGTTTCCCTCCCTGTCACAACAACCACCACCACCACATTTCTATTGCTTTCCCTCCTACCCCACCACAGCCGCCACCATCACATTCCCATTGCTTTCCTCCTCTACCACCACCACCACATTCCTACTGTTTTTCTTCCTCCACCTCCACACCACCACCACCTCCACATTTCTATTGTTTTCCCTCCTCCACAACCACCACCCTTACCACATGTCTTTTGCTTTTGTTTGGCCAAAAAGGCCGAACTCAAACAACCTATCTGGTAGGAAAATAGTAAGAGGAGTGAAAACAATAGACAAGTGGCGAGGATGGTGCTGGTGCTGGTGGTGGAGAAGCAAAAACAATAGAAATGTGGTGGTGGTGGTGGTGGTGGTGGAGGAGGAGAAACAATAGAAATGTGGTGGTGGTGGTGGGGGACGAAGAGGAAAAACAATAGAAATGTGAAGGTGTTGGAGGAGGGAAATCGCGACAATCTTGTTTTGGTAGCAATTGAATGCGATATGCCGCAATAGCGGTGAAGAATAGAATTGAAGTTATTAATTGTAATTAAAGTTTGAGTTTCCCCGAGAACCACGAGCCTTGAGAAAAAAAAAAAGTTTGCCTTCGTTGTGCTAAACTTTGCCTTTATAACGAACGTCGCATCCGGGAAACTGAAAAGAGGAGTGAGTGGTTAGCCCTTGCTCACGTAGATTAAAAGTTAAAAATCGAGCAATCGACACTTGTATGACGCTGATCAGTCTTTCTTATTCTTTGGATATTCGTCAGTGCTAGTGACAGTATAGAAATGATATGTACGTAATTAATAACTAGGTTTTTAATTTATTGTAATTTCTGCGGAAAGTACATCTCCTTTCTTTGCTAAACTAAGGTCGATAGTTTTCTGTTACAAGCCTTTATTTAAACAGAGCGCCCAAGTCCAGAGCTGAATCGCTTATGAACCTTTTGTGCTCCATGCAAAAGAATTTTTTTTGTGTGTGTGTAAAGTTGATAAGGCAAATGCTCTATCCAATCTACATTTTCTTCTGCTGAACTAGTACTGAAATCATGCTAGACAATTCTGGGGTACCTCTGGTAACTTTTATTTTAACAGTAAGAATTGGGCTGCGAAAGAAAAGCTTTGAGGGCGATTTGTTGCAAATGCTTTGCAAGAACAATTTTTCTTATCCTAACAGTCCTTGCTTAGCTTCTAGTCTTGTGGCGTTTAGACAAAGATAAACAATGGGCTCTGGGGTTGTTTACTATGAACAGTTAACAAAGAAGCAGCTATTACAAAATTTTCCTTGATAAATTATTATGTTATTTTAATCTGATCACTATCTCTAAGGTATAGTGAATTGCCTTCGAAATTATTAGGTGAAAAACACGTTTGTCTATATGAATGTATTCGTTACTTTAAGTTATTCGGTTAAGTGCAGCAGAAGCCGTTTTAAATATCTTCCTTGAAAAAAGTTTGTTTTTCTTCCCCACTTATACAGCAAAATCTACGTTCTAGGTGTTGCAGGGCATCTGCGATAATATAATAAACTTGGCACTACTGAGTTTCGTTATAACCATAATTACTCTAAATGCAACCTACTTTAAAGGAATTAATTATTAAATGCCCGTACCTCAAGCTGACACGTATGCTATCTCCTAATTATATCCAGATACACCAATCCCTCAAGACAATTGTCGTTTTAATTTTGTGCGCAGCACCGTACTGTACTGCAACTGTACTATAATGCAACCTACTGCACTACAACTTACTGTGCTAAAAATTAGCCATGCTCTATTTTACTGCACTTGAACGTAAAAAGTAACCAAATGCCGTTAAACCCTCTGAGGTTCATGGCAGGCGGACGGTGGAAATTCCATCCAAAACGGTTTCCCTATTTTTTTTTTTCTTTTAAGAAGACTTCCGTTAATGCGAAATATGCCTTTACAGGTAAAAGAAGGTCAAGCCTTTTTAAGCCAAGTAAAAAAAAGACTACCAAGTGTATTAACTGACATGTATTCATCTACGATATATTCTAAAACTCAAGCATTCGAAACGTTTAGTCTACACTTTTTGGAAAAACGGGATTTTTGCAGGAATACAAAGTAATATCAATTTACAGAGATATCGCAATTCCACACTAGCGTTCTTCTCCTTGTAGACGTCTTCAAAAACCTACCTAAAAGCGATTAAAAATTTGCATAACCCTACTTATAACATAAGGAAGGTTTCCCCTTCTACTACGAAGGTGGGAGTTTTATGTTGTTTATTCACACAGTATGCTTCTAAAGAGCACATTACCAGTTCTTTTGTTATTGAACTGAGCTTCCATCAAACACGCAAAAACCGTCGTTTTTTCCCCATACTTTTGCTCACGACGCTTTCTTCTCTGCGACTCCTTTTGAAAATGAACGTCATTTATTCCTTTCGCCTTCACCTAACTTCTCCAGCAGAGCATCAAGTTTACTCTGCACGCATTCTAACTTTGTTTCAAGGTTTCTCTCTACGCATTCTAACTTCATTTGAAGTTCGGATTCTACTTCGGTGATGTGCGATGTTAACTCCTGGCCGTGAAAATCAATGTCTTCCCTTGCACACATCTGAGGCAAATATAAAGAAAAACAACCTTAACCAAAATACAGTCAAACGTTCGCAGTAAAGAAACTATCAACCTGTGATCACAGCCGCCTTTCGTATTTTTGAGTGCACCGTAATTTTTAGGAAGTTATTATAACTCTGAAAGTGGAGTAATCATTTTAGGTAAAGGATGATCTTTAACTCCCAATTTAACTCCGAATTTGGGGTCATTTTTACTTTTGAAAAACAGTTCTTTTTTCTCCTAGTCTGGAGTTGAAATAACTCCGAAATGGGGTTATATTTACTCCTTACATGGGTTGTTTTTCACTCTTTTTGGAGTTTATTTTAACTCTGAAAGTGGAGTAAAAGTTTTAGGTACAGGATAACTCCTTTTGGGGGTTATTTTAACTCCTCAATATCTGGGGTCACTTTTACTCCTGAAAAAGAGTTCTTTAAACTCCTTTTTGGAGTCAACGTAACTCCCCCCAAAAAAACTCCACGGTAAGGAGTTAAATTAACTCCACTAGAGAAGTTATCATAACTCCTTGAAAATTACTGTGTTCCTACCACGATACGTTCAACCGTCATTGTTTTGCGCGCAGTCTGCGAGTGTAGAGCCCGAGAGTACAGTGCGGTGTTAAGCCTGGTCAAAGGTTTCACCTCCTACACCTCGGGACACACCCACCCGCCATGACTTAGCGTGCTCCTGCCTACTCCTCCCCTTACCATCCCCTTTCCCCCACTAGAGAGCTCGTTCACTGGGTACACGATCTTGTAAATTAGACATTATCGAAAGAGATCTCTTTTGTTTTGTTTCGTTTTGTTCTTTTTTTTTTTTTCACCCAGAAATCTTTATTTGTGGGAGTAGTACACCCCTGAGTAAACTGGTTTGATAACGACAATTTAGTTATAGATTCCTTCCCTGTGAAAAATAACCTGTCTGTCATGGTTATATTACCTTAGCCAAAACGCTGTTTTCGTAGTGAAAGGCCAGGTAAGGATACAGTGGTCTGTCCATGCTGTATTCAATGTAAGATGGCTTCCCATCCTTGGGTACTATCCTGCTTCCGTTTACACTAAAAATAACAGGAACTCGAGTTTGTCCATCTACATGTAGCTTGTGTTCAAACATGACAGTGCAACGAATGACGTCACCTCGCCGAGCTGCTGTCGAGCCTTATGAAGGAAAAAAAAAACGTCCTTACCATCTCTATCTTTTATCCCTACCATCGGAGGGTTAAAAATGGGGCTAATGTAATAGGCAATCGTAACAGTACTTCTGATAACTTTTTTTCAGTAAAAACCTGTCGCGTGGGTTATGTAATGAAACTATACGCTTACTTTTAGCTTTCTGGCGTCAGGTTCCTAGAATGAGGATTATGACTAGATATAACAAAAGTAAACACATTTTAGATTTAGAATAATGTTTAAGCAAAAAAATAAACATTGGAATACTACGACGCGAATAACTTCGACTGCGACTTAATTCGCAAACACCAGACCTCAAGCCTCCTTCCCAGGCCCAAGGCCAGGTCTAAGGGAAATAAAACGCCCGTCATAAAATTTCATCGGATTCGTCAATAAAACAGCAACAGCAACTTTCTTATTGTTTTCAGAAGGCCTTCCAAGTTACACCCTTACGGACTAAGTCATGCAGCCAACAAATACATTTTCCAGTGAATACTAAGCGTTCGTTAATCAGAAGTCCAGATTACAAACCTATAGTCTTTTTCCCTACAGGATTATTTTGTGCATCAAAAATTTTCCTATCATCTGTGTGATATCCAACTGTTCCTTTCCTCCATCCAGGCATCAAGTCCGTGCCGTAATCGTCGAACACCACTCCCATTCCCAGCCATCGTGTCTCCCCGCTTTCCAGAATCATCACCTTGAAAACAAATTATCATTTCGCTTCTGAGCAACATTTCAACGTTGATAGGTCTCTCAGACCTGGCATTCCGCGTCGGCGGATCACCCCACCCATCACGTAAACTTGATAAAATTAAACTGAGCAATTTTATTTATATGGACAGGCGTGTTACCTCACCTACCTAGAGTCCCCCGGCCTCCATATAAAGAGGCCCTTAAAGGATTTTGTTGGCTGTATCAAGAAAATGGTTTCATAATGGAAATGGTTAATTTCATACCTCGAAATGTGGAAAATCGCTGGAAAAGGGTTCCTTGTATCTAGCGCCACACCGATAGAATTTGCGTACATATGGCTGACGTGTTATAAGATAACCGTCTACCAGTATGGCTTCATGGGCTTCCCACGCCTGTGAAGGTAACAGAAACGCCATCCTCTTAAAACTCCTGTGTTTTATTTCATTATGACAATAAGTAGATAATAAAGAATTAGGTTACTTTTAAGTCAAGAAAGTTATAAAATATTGTAAATTTACGTAAAGTTTCCTGAGTAAGGGCTCCGGCACCAATCAAATAACCTGACTTCTGGCTGTATGTGTGTTATAGTCCTATTCTCTTAGAAGCCCTAGAAGCTAATCCAGCCTGGCCGACCAAATGCTGGGAAAGATAGACTACCATACTGGATACTACGCTCCCAGCTCATTACAACACTGCGTGGGCTGACGTTCCACAACGTTAGGGCTTGCATTTTAACGTCTTTAACCGAAAGACTAGAAAGTCTGAACATTTAAAAAGTGTCATTACAAAGGCTAGTCTGATTGCACTTTTACCTCAGTTATTTAGGCCTTTTGGCGACGGTTTTTAACGTTAAGCGAAGAAAAAGGCTTTTTGACCAGTTTCCGCCAATTAGCAAGGGGATAGGGGAAAATTAGATTTGCTGAATTCGCTGCATAAAGCATGAATTAAAGGGTCCAGAAATGCATAGTGTGCATCGTTCCATACGTAACAAAATTGATCCAATCCACCGCCAAAGACCGAAGCGTACAAATTTGTACGATCTGATATGGTCCACAGTAATTTGAGCAGCAGTTTTCCAAACTTAGTTTTCAGACCCCCTTCTTTGCAACGCCTAGTAGATTGTTTGTACGCCATTTTGGGCTATGTTAAACCTGTTTCTGCGACATTTTGTCGAATTTTATATCTCGGTTACAGCAAGAGTAAGCTTAATTTTTGTTCGGCAGGATCTCTGAGCATAGGACACGCTATAATTTGAACAATGTTTTTGATTATTTTGGATGAAAACTTCGATATACCCGATGGTTGCATGTTTCGAATATCGAAAGCTTCGAAGAAAACCGAAGAAGATAGTGAGGATGAGAGTAATAAAATTTCTTCAAACCAGGGAGAAGAAGACGAGGAAAAACTCAGTCTCCTAGCCTGCGAGCAAGCTCTCCAATTTGGGCGAGCGAAGCAAGGCTCGCGAGAACGCGCGATTGAGGGGCGAAGCCGCGAGGGGCAGAGGATCTCTCATAAATTTTCGTTTCCACCCCGGAAACCCCGGGACTCCTCAAAGCATGAAAACGGTCGCCGCAAACGTCCCGATTAGAAAAGTTACAACCTTCTGTCAAGTTGAGACAGCCGAGGGAGCGTAGAATTATTTATTTATAAATCGCTTTCGCAACAGCATCAAAGCAATGTTTTTAATCACTGATATGCTTTTTTTCCACGGGAACATCGAACTTCAACGTGCTCGGATAAGAACTCAATACTTTGATTCTCGTTTTGCCGGTTTAGTATTGAAAACTCGTCTATACTGCAGTGTAGAAGACTACACCCCGTCGCAATCACCAACAAAAAAATTATATTTTTGTCGGTTACGGAACTGAAGAATAGCGTTTTCCTGGACTAGGTTCTCTTAAGTTGTACTCCAGTTGCTACCAACTCTTTCTTGTCAAGCTACACAGCTACACTGTCAAGTACATGTTTCTGAATTTTTTCTTCTCAGTGGAATTCAATCGGGCGAAGAACACGACGTTGGAAGGCAGCGCTTGAACCGGCAGAGGTTGCCCAAGCTCGAAATATGAGCATCGGCGAGCATTGTTTATTGTTTATTGTTTTGTTTGCCATTTAACAATTATTCTTTGAAATCGAGGTGAATAGTGGCAAAATATTCCCAAAGCCACTATTCACCGAGATTTAAAAGAATAATTGCTTTAGTATATACACGCGAAGTGATCTCAACAAAATCAGAGAGGAAACCATTAAAAAGTACGATTTGATTGACAGATGAAATCACGCGTAACTTTAAAAATAGATCTTTGCAGAATTTTCAAACATGGCAATTCACAAGTTTATCATTTCGCAAACAACAGCGTAATGGCTTAAATGGAACCGCTAAAATTTTGAACTGTTTCCATACCTGAGAAGAAAAGTAGAGCTTTGTTGTTTTCTGTTGACTCGCCAAGTTTATAGCCCAGAGGGTTTGTTGTGTCGTTCTTCGCATGAAGTGCTGACAAAAATGGCGGCTCGGTTGCTCGAGGTAAGACGTCGTCTTCCTGTATCATTCTTTTTCTTGTTTACTTGAAACTTAGAATTTCTGCAAACATTTCCTTTTAACTTTGTCATAAATACACTTCCATTTTTGAGCCAAAATTTTCTTGTTAGAAAACGCTGAGTTTTTCACCAGACGGCTTGTTCTACGCGAATACACGGGAGTTGTAAACAATCCATCGAGCACAAAACAAAACACCGAGCTCACACATTATCCACTCGCTAGGAGGTGAATATTGTTGAATAGTCCAAGATAGCGAACCAATCATATTGCTCAAAATCACCAACATCACTGAGTGTGTATATACTAAAGGTAAATGTACAAAGCAAAGCAAGTTACTATTTATGATAAGAGGAATGCTTTCAGCTTACAGCAAAAGGAAGCGGTACTTGTTGCATTTCGAATTTCAGAACTAAGAGACTTAAAAAATTTAGGACCTTGGAAACTGATGGAGAACTTTCTTATCACTACCAACATGAGTTCAATGAAAATCTCATAAAATGTTCAGGGAAAACCCGTGAATCATTTTTCATGGTCATGAATGTAGCAATTGTCAATTTCATGGCCTTGATTTATGGCCATAAAGTTTCAATGAATTATATAACTGTCTTTTTCACAACCCATGAAAAAAGTTTTTCGTGGCCATGAAATTTTTTCGCCACCATGGAAAAAGTTTTTCATGGCCATGAATTTTTTTCGTCACCATGAAAAACGTTTTTCATGGCCTTGAAATTTTAGGGCCACCAAAAAGTTGCATTTCATGGGTCATTAAATATTTTTCATGGTCCATTAAATTCACAAACGTTCCGAATTCGATATTCATGAACCATGAAATTCCCATGGAACATGGGGAAATAATTTATGGCTTTAGACGGGAAAGGCTGCAGGGATTTGCGACCTTTGATTCGCTCTTGGTGCAAAGGGATCTTGAAGCAAGATAACGAATGTAAAGGAGGACTATCATGTATTACCTAGGCCGAACTTGGAGGCGATTGGAGCCGTTGGAGCGAATTTACAACCGTTTTCCTTCGCTGGAATCCCCAATATATAGAGAGAAAACCGTTTACAGTATGAACCACACAGGAGAGACGCAACACGCATTTCATGTAAGGTAAGCTGTTTTTTTTTTTATTGAAATCCTTTCATTTTCGCAGGTTACAGAAAGGATAGGTTTTCCTCATACAAATCCTTATATTTCGAATGTTACACCACAATGCCGATGTTCGCCGATGCTCATATTTCGAGATTGGGCTACTGTGGAACCGGGCGCTTGAATCCCTCTTCACTTTCACTCTTCTCGTTTTCAGAATTAAATAAGACGCTTTACACAAACAAATACAACTGAAGAAGGGTTTTAATTTTCTTTCCACAAGAACTATAAACTCGGATCGACTTATCCTCGGCTCGCAATATTCTCTTTGCGAAACTAAATCAAACGAGCCCCCTCGTCTGCTTTGAGGGCTGAAACAAGTTCTCGGTACCAATCTGATCCCCCTGAGAATCAAACTTGACACACAGACGAAGGGGGTGCCAGCCTGGCCTGTTATCAATCAACTTTGTTTTCCGGAACGTCGATTTTCAACCAATTGTATTTCCCTTCGTCTGGCCGAAGTACGAATGAAATTTTATAAGAGATCGTTGCAAACTCTCCTTTCCTCTGCCCCTCGCGGATTTTTCGCTCACTCGCGCGTTCTCGCGAGACTCGCTTCGCTCGCCCAAATAGGAGAGCTTGCTCGCTGGCTATCAGTCTTCGGGACATACACATTGACGATTTCAACAGTGATAAAGATTTTCTTCATCCTGGAAGGCCACAAAACATGTGTTTGGATGTCTATGTTTAGCTGTTGGAAGAAAGCGATCGAGAAGTTGTCACTTTCAATTAATATGGTTGGGCTTACGAAGGTGTATCATCCAACCATGCTGTATATTGTGGACAGGATATAACCTTGATAGTATCAAATGTAGGCAAATGGGGTATGAAAATAATCCTCAGTAAATTTGCTCTAAATTTGGACTCCTGCAGTAATTTTCATGACCAAATTAAAAGTTCAGAACACTGAAAACAATTAAAGTGAATTTGTTGTGTGACATGAACTTAATATTTAACAACCTGGGCCCAGTTGTTCGAAGGCCGATTAGCGCTTAACCCAGGGTTAAATTTAACACGGGTTTCTATTTCTTTTGTTCAAAAGCATTTTCTCGGATAATTTTCTCTGTTATTTTTAAGAGCATCCAATCATCAACTTGTTGACAAAAAGAATAAAACTGAAATTACTTTCTAAGCTTTTATTTCTGAATTCAAATTTCACACCGACCCTGGGTTATCTTAACCCAGCTTTGAACAACTCGGCCCTGTTAATTATTATTTATTAGTTACCTATTAATAGAAAGTTGCTTGGCAAATAGTCCCAAGTCTTTTCTACCACATATCTAAATTTTATGAAGATACAGTACATTTAACAATACTAGCCCTAAATCTTAAAATGTGCGTAAAATAAATTCAGGTCTTAAAGGGTTTTAAAGACCTCGTTTTGTTCCGGCCAGGGTGTAAGCTTTTGGCATGATACTAGCCATCTCGGTCCTCATCCAACTGCGTTCTTCCAGTTGAGAAAAATATGGAGATTTCCCTTTGGGAACACTTATTTAATGCAGTTTCATCTAGATCTAACTGTAGGCCATACAAGGCTACCTCTACTGATTAAATGATGTACCCATACTTCCCCTCTACATATCATTGTTTTAAGTACCTCTTGACCCACGGGAAGAAGGGCTTTATTAGAAACTTGTTTCTTTGTAAAGGATTTGTAAAGAACTTGATTGACCATGCCTTCGGTATTCTCGACGTCGTCCAGTACCTGTTCGAGTATATCTGCGGGAGTGTACCAGTATCAGTTATTAAAAACTATGCAATTAGATAGTGCTACAAGAGATTTTATAGGCTTAACTATCATGAAAAAAAAACAAGGAGTTATACCATTGCCGACAAATATTCATCGGGAAAGCCCGAAAAAGCCAACATAGCAGTCCATTCGTGTTGGCACAAATGTGACAATTTTGAGAGTGATGCGATATGCACAAAACTAGCTAGGCAAAAGTCACTCGTCTCTTTAGATTTTTTTTGTACAAACGTCTTTTTGACAATTAACAACGATCCCACTTTTTCTTCGTCTCTAATAGGCTCAAATCCAAACGATGATTAACGCTGATCAAATTTGAACAATTTTGGTTATTTTTCCAGTAATAAAACAATATTAGACGAATGACGTCAAACAAGATGGCAACGCGGAGTTCTGTTTAGCAGTGCTCTACAACACAGTAGACTTGGTGAAACGAAATAGTCGAGTAATTAACTGTTAGGAAGAAGGGTGACAGCAAAGTCTACCTGATTTGTGACCTGTTGTACAATATTTCTAACGGCCGGAGTCATGAAGCCATGTTAAGCTAAGCGACGTCTCAAAAATTGATTCAACTGGACAACAAGTCATTGTTAAAAGAAACGAAGCTGCCTGGCTGGTAGCGTTTGATTTTCTCCTCAAACGTCACTACCAATGACGCTTGCTGTCGATCTGCGTAGTCAATTTATTGGGACAATTTGTATAGCGTATACTCACTTGTGGGAGGAAAGGAATCTCCGTATTTGAGCCTGTATCTGTCCAGAAGATACGTAACATCTAGCTTGGGCTGAAAGCGAAAAATATCGTTGATTACCAAGAGAAAACAATGGGACTGAGAAGGAAACGCCCAGTCTAGCCCTTGAGATGTGTGAATTTCATTATACTTATTTTTAGACCAATTAAACGCTTGAAAGTAATCGGAAGTTGGTCTCCGAAAAGGTCCTTAAACTTGCTTTCGGTGTTGTCAAGAGGCAGTTCAATAGCCACTAGTATAACATTCTGCACTGTTTGCCTTGAGACAGTTGCGCGTGGACTTGATATGACGTTTCAAACAATCGATTAAAATGTGTGGACGTCTCAGGAATTACACTTCCTTTAATTACAACCTCTATAACTTAAGAGGAATTTACAGATCTTGGCTAACGGCCTAAGATTCCCTCTCAGTACCAGTGATAGTGAAGTTAAGCAACACGACAGAAGAGAAAAGAGGAGGGCAAACCTTGTGTGACAAGCGTCGCAATAATTTTGTTTGAAAAATAAAAACTTTCTCCCAAACTTCGCCTTCCTTTAAAGAAATCTTTTTGTGAAAAACCAGAAAACATTAATGTTAAGTGAAGATCAAGAGGAAACTTGCCAGTAGAGACCTGTCACATTTGTCACACACAAGCGTTTTGCCGTCCTCTTCTTCCTCCCGTCCTGTTGCGTAAACTCACTATTTCCCTCGTGTTTACATAATATTTGTTACGCACTAAATGTACATGCCGAGATATACACCCTAAAAAGCTGTGTCGTAGACTTTTGCTACGAAAATGAGCTCTAACTAATCAGAGGAACGAATGATGTTTTTTTACTAATAAGCAAAACAAATTGTCCACTACGTATCAAGAAATGGTCTACTGTACCGATCTAAATTTGCCCATCAGGCTTACAACAAGAGCTGTTTTGTTCTAGGTAACAACATCCCAGGCCGACCCGAAGTTTCTTTGAATAATCGGAAACGTTAGTTGCGACGTTTACACCAATTGACGAGACGTCTAGTAATCCGACAGTTGTTGGTCAGAAAGATTTAGTTGACTGACCGGTGTGAAAGAAATATTTTTGTACAACTGTTGCCATAAAAGGCAATTTCCAGAATAAATTGAATCGAGCGAATATTAACGTTAAAAGCCGACGTTTCGGCATCATCATGACACCATTCTCAAGGCAAAATGAATAAGTAAAGCGAAGATTTGATTTCTATAGTCTCTACATATTAGCATAATAACAAAGGATCACAAGTTCTTCAAGTGAATACCTTTGCTCGAATCGAGTCCGCCAGCACGTTTAGGGATGGTTTGAGTTTTCTTATAAAGAGCATCTCCTTAATTAGGCAATCAAATTTGTTAGAACCTTTAGTGAGCACGTGAAATTGTTCTGAAAGAAAAGGTGGTACGTCCGAGTTATGTTCGCTAAGATAATGTTTACAAATTGACGACGATTTCTGTTTGTGTCCATCAACGCGTTCGTGAAGGTGGCCGCGAGTATAACCAACACATCCTGCATCGCACAGGTTACATTGAAATTGATAAACTAAACATTGTTGGTTAACAATGGCTGGCCTGACTTCTCGAAATTTAAGGTCTTCGTTGAGTTTTCTGCTGATGAACACGGGCTGAATAGTGGTCTTGATTTTTAAGCTGAGGTCTGTGAGACGTTTTTTCACTATATTAGCAGAGACCTGATCTTTAAATGGTATCACAACTCGGATGGGGGCTGGAGTTTTGTCGGTTGACGGAATTTGCTGCTCGTATGCTACCTTGGAATCCACGAATTGTTTGACAGCCTCATTGAATAGGTGCCTCGGGTACTAAAGCTTTAAGAATACAGTCTCAAGTCGATCGCATTCTTGTGAGAAGTACGACCAGTCGGAAGATATGCGGTAAGCTCGATCTAACATGGTGGTAATTAGACTGCGCTTGTACCGATTATCCACGTAGCTCTGGTAGTGGAGTAAAAGGCTCGTATTAGTTGGTTTTACGTAGAACGTGGTCTTGATTCTGGGGGCTAAGTTTAACAGTTCAACACCGATGAAAGGAAGCGAGGCATTCCGTTCAACTTCCATAGTAAACTTTGCTGATGGGTGGCAGTGGTTTAGGGTATCAAGAAAAATTTCGGCTGATGCTATATCAGGCATGATGGTAAATGTGTCATCCACATATCGTCGTTAATAGGAGGCAATTTGCCATCTTGATCGAGTTTATCTTTAATGGAGCACATAAAGACATTGGTGAGCAGAGGACCAAGAGGAGATCCCATTGCGAAGCCATCTGTTTGCTCATAAAGATTTCCATTAAACTGAAAGAGTTGGTTCTTATTGGCTGCGTTGAGTAGTTCAATTTGCCTAATTAAGGAGATGCTCTTTACAAGAAAACTCAAAACGTGCAGGCGGACTCGATTCGCGCAAAGGTATTCCCTTGAAGAACTTGTGATCCTTTGTTAATATGCTAATTTGTAGAGACTATAGAAATCAAATCTTTGCATTACTTATTCATTTTGCCTTGAGAATGGTGTCATGATGATACCGAAACGTCGGCTTTTAACGTTAATATTCGCTTGCTTATGTTTTACGAAATCGTTATTGATGAAGATGAATCGAAGAGTAGACAAAAAAAAAAAAAAGCTAAAAGAATTGCTTGTTTGTGTGAGTTGATGACGGGGCAAGAAGATCTTCAGCAAACAATAACATAGATGTATATCTAGCCGAATAGAGGTCTTTCGTCGAACATTTTCTTTCTTTCTTTTTTTTTTTTTTCGGCCAAAGTGCTTATCCCCTTCTTCCTCCTAGCTTTATCCTTTTCTCCCTTTCTCATCGATCCTTGGCTGGTGTGATTTTCGAGCCTTTTGGGCGCGAAAAAACCTGCCACAGCTTTCACAGCTTTTTCACTCAAGTGGCTGCAAATTTCGTTAGTTTCGTTTTCAAAGAATGGCTAGATGTATTTTTATAATAACTACCGACTTACTTGAGGTTTTTGAGGTTTGAACGACTGAGGTCTCTCCCCCGCTTTCCTTTCACAATAGCCGTATATCCACTCGCCAAGAGCAGGCACGATATTCAGTGGAACAGGAATGGGGCTATAGTTGCGATATGTTTGAACGGTAATTGCTTTTTGAAACACCCACTCGTTTCGTGAGTTATCCTACGGAGCAAAATGAGCATAAAATGTTTAAGCTAGAATAGTAGCCAAAAATTAAAAAAAGCGTGGCATTATCTCGAGTGCGTGAATAGTTTGAACCCAGGAGTCATGCGCAGTACATGTAAGTAGGACATGATCGTCCAGTTAGGTGCAGTCCTGTGCGACCACAAACAACCGTAACCTCTTCTCTTTTTCGCTTACCCGATCTTCAAGGCGTTGTCATTTTTTCCTCGTATGTACGAGTATTAGAAAGACTATCTACTAAAGATTTGACCCTTTTATAATGCATTGAAACGATACAGATCTCAGGGGAAGTTTGCTATTATCCAAGCCTTTACTACAACTTGTGTCTCTGAGAGAAAATTTGCAAAATGAACCCTGACACGACATCGGAGACTGTCTAGATTGAGAGATAAATACAATCTTGAGTAAATTTTATTCTCAAAAAGAATAAAAAATGTTTTCATTTTCCTTAAGATTCTCTAAGTATTTAAACTCTTGAAACAGTGAAAGAGAGAAAACAAAAAATTGTTAACCAGAAAGGAAATTAACCGCTAGCCGGATAAACGTCAAAATAACAATTAACCAAAAACAACAACTACGTAAAATAGACAATCCAATTGGGAGGACCCTTTGGGATCTCTAGGAGACGAGAATAATTAGATTGATTAAGTAAGCGGGAAAATATCCCTTCAAAAGCTGTATACGTACCTGCACCCGCTGGTAAGTGTTGGAGAGCAACGCGATAAGCATGTTAATCAGCAAGATTAGGGCCAAAACAAGATAACCAGCATATAAAAGATGAGCAAGTGTTTCTGACAAGTAATCAGCTGATTTAAGGGGAGTCAGTTCTTCTGATAAATCAAGCAAAGACCAGGTAAGATGTGTAGTTATCTTCCACCAGCTAGAGGAAAACAAATTGTGAAAATAAATAAATAAAATTGCAGAACAAATTAATGAAGCAATATATTTCGTCTTTTTCTGGTAACGTGTAGTTCCAGAAAATTTCCTCTCCCCCCGCCCCGACACGGAGGGCAACGGAAATTCCGGGGTGAGGGGGGTTCAAAAGGAGGCAATTTCCGAGAAGGTGGGGGTTTGTTTACAGGTTTTTTTCAATTTTTTTTTCTCAGGTGGTCTGAGTAAGATTGGCACATGAGTTATTAATAAATAAAAGCTTAGCCTGAGTATCATGCCTTCCTAAGGGGCTAGGGGAGAGGAGATTTTAGATAACAGCTTTTCTGTTGAGCAACCTATCAGTTATTTAATGTTACCTGTGTTTCAAAACAAGTATTATTATTCATTCAAAATATTTCCTCGATTCTGATTGGCTAAAAGCACACGCATAATTCACCATAACCAGCTACTGATGACCAAATTAAAATTTGGAAGAGTTTTGCGTTTATGAACCGATGACGTCAAAAGTGCAGCCTTCTTGCAGGTTAATGCACCGTTCACCGAGAGGACCTGGGGACGAGGTTGAGTTGTTTTGGTTCTGAAAAGAAAATTGGCGGACATTTCACTCGTTTCAAGTGTAAGAACTAGGCGAAATATTAGCTAAATGCATGGCAAGAACAGCAAGAAGACAACTCAAATGGATGTTTTCTGGAGCTACACAATATAAACGGTGCCAGTTAATTATGACCAGGATTATTATAACCGGAAAGTACACGAAGGCAAGAAATTTTGTTTTATATGAACTATAGATCGTTTTAACTGTTACGCGGGAAAAGCCAAGAAAATGAAATGTTATAAAAGACTCATTCTTAAACAATTTTTCCGAGTCTTAGGTCTTTGTGCCCACAGTTCCTGAGTTATTTGCCGAAACGTTTCACGCACCTTTGTAGAGCTTTGTATGGAGACGCCATATTGGTGCACAGTTTTGGTGCACCAATTTGGACGCCGAAAATCAACAACAACATGTGGAGTACACTTTCTCTATAAAAGCTCTTTCTTTTCACTCGAGAACTAGCATACGTGCGCATAAAAATATCTTCTAATACTTGGAATGGTTATACCGCTGAAAATCAAGAGGAGATACTTTTTTCAAGGAGACAGCATTCCTATTTTGGTGTCACGCACTGTGAAGACTCGGAAGTTCAAATAGCTGTATTTCCGAACTGAAACATGCTACGGGAATGAAATCTCGTGCAAAGATTTACTTTTTGTTTACCTTTAACTTGGTGTAAATAAGAATTCGTAAAATCTCGCTATTTTGACTTTACAATATGATGACGTCACTGTGAAAGCCATCTATTGCCCGTTTTTATTGTCACGTCATCAACAAGAGACAACTAGATCAAAACCATTCAATAACATAGGGATGAAGAGAAGTTTTTTGATACGCAAACAATCTCGCCAAGGAGAAATAGGAGATGTTCATAAAAATGTTTCACCTAAATTTGCAGGGATCAGTAAAAACTATAAGCTAATTTACAATGTTGACTCCAGTCTGATGGAGCATTTTGATTGGCTTTGATTGGCTTTGATAGCGGAGCGCCATGGGTAAGAAAATTTGGTTATCTATGCATCCAAGAAATTTTGGTTCGGACAGAATTGTCCGTCAACATTTCCCTCTTCATGTTGGCGGATGTGAAATGTTTTACTAGTTTAACCCTCGGACGTACACACAAATTCATACCCCCACCGTGGTACAAAGGATGCGGGGGTGGGTGGGACCCCTGTACGGAGTTTTTGATATGTTGCAGTATTTTGAAACATCTTACCCTTAGTGGAAAGTCTTTGATCTTCTCAACAAGAGGAAGTATATTTTAGAGGTGGTGGCGCTGCTGGAGGCCTGTCATGTCACCAACAATGGTCGCCATCTTGGATTTTTTCAAGAATTAGAAATCAGGTTAAAACCTCAAGAAAGGGTAATTTTTTTGTGCTTTACATAAAAAATAACACAAAAATAAGCACTCTGCACGATTTAGCCACAAGATTTACTTTTATTGTTGAAAGAAGTTGAAAAAACATGTATTTTCACCCAAATTAGTTTAACCACCTGATGTTTATGACGTCATATCTCGTAATCATAGCAACTGACCATCACTAAACTTATCTCAAAATGTGTGCGAGGGAGAAATGAACAGCTACTGAAAACGTCAGGTACTGATGCTTTATTCTCTAGGAAAAAAAATCAGAAAAACCTTGTGGAGGTGGCATCCACCCCCCCCTACCCCTTGTACGTCCGTGGGTTAAGACTTCAAAGCATAGACAAATTGTGTCAACTTGATACTGGACATCCATGTTATGATCAATTGACAGGCGTGTTATGGGTATCCACTGACCAGTGTCACCTGACTGTATCGCTGGCTCAGATGTAGAACTTATTAAGGTGACGTGTTTTTTTTTAAAGTTCTCTGTTGACCAGTTATGGTATTTAAGCGATCCAGGCTCAGATTTGGCCTTGGCTAAATGTTTATAGCGGAGCTCTCGCGCGCGCGAAGCGGAGCACCATGGGTAAGAAAATTTGGTAAACTATCCATCCGAGAAAATTTGGTTATGACGTAGCGTACGCCCACCCGTACACACACTTCATGTAAGCCGATGTCAAATGTCACACTAGATCTTGCACAACTTGACTAGCCTCTTAGTTATGTAAGCCATCCATATGAGGACGATTAGATTGACAGCTGTCAAAATGAGACATCCACTGACAATTATCACATGACCATCTCTCGAGCTCAGATGAAAGGCCAGTCGTTTTGCCCCTACATGTAAGCTGATATAATATGTCACACTTAGCAATTCAACATAAAAACGAAACTACGCCGGGCAAGGCTGTCAGTTGGCTGACAGTCATTTAAAGTTATATTGGTAAGCCAAATTAAGGTCAATTAACAGCTGTCAAAAGGGGACATGTGCAGACCACTATCAGAAAACTAATGACGTGGGCTCAGGTTCGCCCAGGCACACGATCTGGCATTTTCCGCTACATGCCGGACGAATAATGTGTTACTCACACTCGTAGTCTGTTAATTCGAATATTCGCCATTCTACATTCTACTTTAATTGACAGCTGTCAAACTAGTGTATACGCTGACCATCATCACGTGAGTGTATCGCGGGCTCATTTTCCTATCCATTAAGGTCACGTAGTGGACGTAGTGTTTAAAGTTTTGCGCTGATATTCTATTTCATCACTGGCTCAGTTCGAAGCCCCATAGCTTAGAAAATCTATCCGTCTTAGAGAATTCGGCAATCACGTGACCGTACATTGACCACCCGACTTTCCGTCCGTCCCCACCACTTTCTAGCTAGTTTGGGAGCCTGCAACCTGATATTGTACATCCATGTTTTGATTAATTGACAGCTGTCAAAATAGTGTTTCTGCTGACCAGTATCGCCTGACCGTATCGCGGGCTCAGGTATCGACCCACTGAGTTCAAGTGTTTTTTTGAAGGAATCCGCTGACAAGTTGATACTTTTCAAATGATCCCAGGCTCAACTTCAATTTTTTTAAAATGCATATGAAATAAGTCGTGTTCATGAGCAGCACTTTTAAAATGTTGATTTCGAACTGACTTCGGACGCGAAAATTCAACCGGCTTGTACATGCAGGTTAGGCAACCGCTTTTGACTTTTCTCACTATCACGCGTTGATCACGCTCTATGTCCAATTCTTATGTTCTGATTGGTCAAAATTTGACAGGTGAGTTCACGAGGGAAAATTTATACAGCGTCTGGAAACTTGCTTACTGATAGCTGGAGCTGACAGAGTTTTGTCCGGAAGTTTTGTCTCATCTTGTGATGTTTTAAACTGTCTTTTTCTAATTGGTGTACAAAATGAAATACAGGTGCTATCAAGATTGTTCTGTAATTCATGGCTGGTTTGTTTATTGCGCTTTTTTTTCACAAATGCACCGCTTGTCAAAGTCATTGTAAATCCGATTTCGGATGGCATCGTTTTCAAAAATGAGCTTACTCACTTGCCCTTGCTTGAGGCGTAAGAGGGTTGAAAAGTCTCAAGCGATTCTGGAACACTTGATCACCTTCAGAAGCAGCATCTCGACTGGTAAGCCTGAGCAATTATTGTCTTTGATGTGTTTTTTTTTTTTTTTTTCGGTTTCCTGAAGTCGAGCGTATGGTTTATGCGGCTTAAATTTATATACGAGCAATGATCTAACCTACAATAGTATCAGGTTTACAAAGCCTTTATACATTTTTTGACCGCAAATTCAAAGAAAAGGTTCCGAAGATTATTTAGTTATGATTTTGGCTGTAAACAGAAAGCTCTGAGCGATTTTTTTGCCTCGAGTTCATCTTGAAAAAGAGAAAACACCGGGATCCGGTTTAAAAAATGAATAAGCTTATGCTTACCTGACTCATGATTTTCAGAGACACGTTACTCTCAATACTTCTCTTCGTGAATGAAAATTATTGTGTCTGTACATGTTTCACCGAATTATGTTTATTTTATTGATTGTTAGTAGTCTCTCTCGCAATTTTTATCGCTGCACCGGTTGTTTCCAGTCGAACATAAACATCGCATGCAGGAATACTCAAAACGCCGCCCGTAAATATCACTCACTTTTAAAGATTACAAATGACAAAACCATACACAGTTTACTAAATAAAGGGAAATAAAACCTAAACATAACAATTTCTCTATCACGTTGAAGCGTAAATGGTAACTGTATTAGTCGCACTGCAAATTTGGTGCCTGTCAAAAGTGAGAACCCGTCCGGCTGGCCGAAAAGTGATTTGGGGAATTTTTTTTATCGTTTTCATCTAAAACCCGTAATTATTACCCTGCATATCACATAGGACCAGATTTTTCTAACTGAAAAGTCCCGGCATTATCTCAGAATTCTCTTCATGACAACGTTTTATAATTCAATGCTATAATTTGTTGTGCAAAGGAAGTGCGTGCTTTGATCGTCGTGGATATTGAATGAGTGCAGATTCTCTTGCAAAATTGTGAAAAACTACCGAATTATAGGCTTAAATAGGGCAAAAAAGAAAAAAATTCTGTCCGAGGTCTGTATGATAAAAAAGGGCCTCAGAGTACTGTTTACCTGAGACGTGATGAGAAAAAGTATGTTTATAAGGCTGGTTTACACGCCACCAGATTCGTCGCCAAGATTTACTAGTAAACTAAACTTGTCGAACACAAAAAATCCGGTCTGATTTTTTTTTTATTTTGGCCTCTCTTTTAGATAGAGGAATGCAACGTGTAAATTGGCTGCCACCAAGGACTATCGTGGCGCGTGTGTTTCTTAAAATTATATTTCGGGGTTGTCCAATTATCCATAGTCTCTCTAACGGAGCAATGTTGGAGAGACTGGTGAATGCCACATTATGATGCAACAGCTAATGCAATTACAATACATGAATAGGTCTATTTTTTTTCCAGGCCTAATCCACTGTGATCGAACATGATTGCTATCTTGGGTGTACAAATAAGACTATTTAATAACTCGATGTAAACTTTGTTTCACTCTTGGACTGGCAAATTATTTTTCTCTAAAATCACTTAGCCTTCGCCTCAAAAGTCAAATAAATGTGCCCTGATCTGTGGATTGCAAGTTTATTGTTTGATTTAAATTATGAATTTATAAACGAGAGCTTCGCTTTTAGCCCTGGCTAAATCTATATATTATTAATATTTTACTCACCATTGCATTCCAGTTTCGTTGCAAGCACTGAAACGTAAAAGAAAGTTTTAGATGATGGAAGCTTACGACGAACCTAAATTTTTAGTTACCGGAATATAGTCAGGAGTGGTAATACAAAAAATTATTATTATATGATATAAAATCAGAAACTCATAAGGGGTTGAAACGTGTAACTCCCATATGTTTGCTTTGTCCGATGCTCGTGATTATTCAATTTCAAAGTACCATATTTGGAACGAGAAGAAGAAATAACTGACCAATCAAAAGTCGTAAACAACGTTACGTAATTTTACTTCACGTTCCCGCGCCCGCTTAAAAAAATGCCCGACAACCGGGGGAAAAACTCTCGAAAGCCGAGAAAGCTATCAAAGGTTGAAACCATGAATCTTACTAACAAAACACTGAGCAGGATATTATTGCCTTACCACCCGGGCCAAATATAACATTATGAAACCCATTGACGTCCTCGCAACTTCATGAAGTTGTCACTTCAAAAAACGATGCCTCATTGATCACGACCCTCTGCACAGTAAACTTATACTGCAAATAGGCTTTTAAAATTCTTATATTAAAAGTCTAGAATAAACAGTAAAAAATATTTTCGAATAAAATTCATTAGCTGCGTAAAAGTTTCCAAAACCTTAACCTCACATCTTCGCAAAAAGACAAAGTGATGCGTGTAATGAATGTGAGAAGCATTAAACGCTTAAATTCAGCTTGGATGTTGTAGTCACGATCGTGTTTTGAGCTAATTTTACGAATGAACAAACTCACAACAATAGAAAGAGAAGCCGTTTCTGGAACATTTTTATTTAATATCCAAAAAGTTAATCCTTTAAAGCAATGTAGAAAACACTATCTGGACCGTAGATCCGTTCTCGCAAGTGAAATCGGCTGAGCACAGGGCAAAATTCAACACAAAATCCATCTCAAATCGGGGCACATTAGTAATTTTTCTCTAGCGCCGAAGAGAAAAATTTATAAAACGTAATTCCCTTTCAAAAACGTAATTGTCTTGGCCATAGAGTGCAAAATGTACCTGAAAATTCAGCAAAAACGTCACTGCCTTGGTTGCATTTCGTGAAGAAAACAAGGTTGAATTCTTCGAACGACGATTTCTTGATGAAAAGCTTCCCTTCCTCCACAAAAAGAAAGCTGAGCATTTTTTTGAACTTTCTCTTTCCGTTTTTTGTCTTTTAACGGTGTAATTTTAACCCTGAAATGCAGAACTCTTGTCTTAAAACACCTGCATGGTGATCGCGCGGCAGCCATTTTGTTGAAAATGGATATCTGTCACTAAGGTTTCCAAATATTGTAAAAGAGAATATTCACGAGCATTGAACGCGAGCTACACGTTTCAACCCGTTATGAGTTTCTGATAAAATTCAATTCCTTGTACTCGTAAGCGGAATGCTTTATTTCCTTTTTTCCAAGGCGGTTTCTAACATGATAATCATAGCCTGAATGTCAACTGATTGCTTCGAGACGTTTTCTCCTCTCAGCAACGTCTGAATCGACCAGCCGTTAATGCTGTCCAGTGACGTCACTACCCGAATTCCGGGAAGTGATTTTAATTGGTTGATAGTCAAAACATTTGCATAATTATGCATAATTATCAGAAATTTTAATGGGATTGTCGCTTGAAATTTATCGGATCATATTCCTGGCATGCTTGCGTGGAGTTCAAACATTTCGATAATCTTTATCGTAAACAGCAAAATTGCCCTCGATCGTTTTCGAAACCGAAATGCTTAATAGAACTGCGAATGAAGAATCATTGCGGAGAGTCAGTAGGTTTTTCAATTAGAGCCGCTTTGTGGTTTCGGCAGTGATTTTGTTTCTGCGAAGTTTCTGAGACCAATGTTTGTAATTCGACCCTCTAGTTATTTTCACTGTCAAGTGTAATGATTCTGTTAGCTTTTTTTCTGTTTCCTTGTTTTTATTTTCTTCGTTAAGGACCAAATAGCTTCTTTTCAATTAAAGCAAATCGTTGTATTCTCAACCAAGTGTTCCGTGTGTTATATATGTCATTGCGTGATTGCGACCGAGTTTGATTATTGAATAACAACCGGTTCAGAGTACTGGATGCAGTTGATAGTTTGGACGTTAAACATGAATCACGATCGAAAAAAGTAAAGCAATTCTGTATCATGCTTGATGCAGACATTTCCAAACGATATTTCTTGGTTTTCCACTTGAAAATCGTGTTTAACTTTCTGCCTGAATTAAAGCAAAGGAGTAGTGACATCACTGGACGGCATTAGCGGCCGGTCGATTCAGACGTTACTGAGGGAGTAATAACGACTCCAAATAATCGGATGAAATTTAGGCTAGATAATCATCAATTAACAAGTTTGACTGCCAAATACGTAACCCAGACAACTGAATTGGTAAACCAATCAATCAATCAATCAAAATAGATAAATGAATAGATAGAAAAAGAAGTAAAAACAAAATAAAAATATTCTTCACTTACGGCTGCCTTCCGATGCTGCCTTGCTTGACCATTGATTTTTCGGCCACAAACACCTTGGTAATGGTACTCGCAAAGGCCACCGTTATCAGCAGAACATGTAACACAACTACAACTCCGTCCCTAACAATGTAAGTCAAGGCAATCTGAATTGTTCCAACACCTTGACACGTCTCTAAAACTGATCCAAAAGCTCTGAAAGTAAGCAGCATTGTATTGAAGCCGTATAGATAACCAGCCATCACCAAAGCCCTATTGTTGGTTATCGAATCTGATTCCACCCAGGTGAGAATTCTCAACGGCAATATCGCACACATAAATACAATAATGATGAAGAGGTCGAATATGTTCCATCGGTCCCTATCAAAGACAAAAAGGTGTCATAATTGCATGATTTTAACAGTCTCTGTCCAAATATATATGTTTATTTGATTATTTTTAAGGCCCAACGCCATTTAACACGAAGCTAGAGAAAACGACATAAACAGAAAGAGATGTAAAGAGAGGAACAAAAATGATATGTTTTTCTTCAAATTAATACTCGGACGTACAGGGGGGGGTGGATGCCCCCCCCCCCATGAGGTTTTTTCTGAGTTTTTTCCTTGAGGATGAAACATCGGCACCTGACGTTTTCAGTAGCTGTTCGTTCATCCCTCCCGCAGATTTTGAGACAAGTGTAGTGATGGTCAGTTGCTATGTTTACGAGATATGACGGCGTAAAGAAGCAGGTGGTCAAGCCAAGTTTGGGTGAAATTACATGTTTTTTCAACTTTTTACAGCAATAAAAGTAAATCTTGTGGCTAAAATCGTGCAAAGTGTTTATTTATGTGTTATTTTTCATGTAAAGCACAAAAAAATTACAATTTCTGGCTGTTTTAACCTGATTTCCATTTCTTGGTAAAATCCAAGATGGCGGCCAAGATGGCAACCATCGTTGGTGACGACACAGGCCTCTTGCAGCGCCACCACACATAAAATAGACCTCATCTTGTTAAGAAGATCAAAGGCTTTCCACTGAAGGTAAAATCGTTTCAAAATATTGCAACATATCGAAAACTCCGGGGAGGGGTTCCATCTACCTTTGTACCTTTGTGCTACGGTGGCGGTATGAATTTGCTTGTACATCCGAGGGTTAAGATGAAGAAAAACACCTACAATACAACGAAGAAGGCAAATCTTACAGCTGACTGCATGTGGACGATATCAATATTATTCAGTGGAAAATACACGGACGCTGCATTCGCTGCCAAAAATAATTTGGCAGCGGATAAAAATACATGAATAATTGAACAACAATTACGTAATTCAGGCTTGGAGAACTGGCACTATACAAAAACAATCTTCAATTTACAAATAATGTCTACTAAGTAACTTAGTTCATAACCATATGTTCAATCCTTACACCCTGAGTTAAACGGGTAATATACACTACACCTGATATATTTTTTTAAAACCCCAATGCCTGCTGCTTTGAAAAGAAATCGAGTATTTCCCCTCTGCTTTTCTGCAAAGTCTCTCTTTTCCTTCAAAATATCCTTGATTTGCCTGATTTCATTAAGTAAACGACCAACGATAAAGCACAAAATGGTCCACTCTAGGCCGCTGAAAGACAGTTGTGAAGGTTCTAAACATATTGCCAAATGCAGCGCCAGAAGAGCCAAGTAGCTGATGGTATCACGCACGAAAATGAAATAAGGAATCTTGAAATATGTCCTGTATTTCTCGTGTATCCCTGTGTGGGCTGTATTTAGAGAGAAGACGATCAATGAGAACAAAACAACAACAACAACAAACTTCCTACACCAACATTAAGATTTTCTCTGTGATTACAAGGTTACAATCATCACGTTCATATTGCCTATATATTGCCCTTAATACACCTTGTTTTTATTCCCCCCCGACAAAAAAAAAATATATAATAATAATAATAATAATAATAGTAATAATCATAATAATAATAATAATAAATGCATGAGCATTGTTTTCACTTTCTGGGGATGCCAAGAGAAATTGAAAAGAACTGTATCATCCATTTTCACATTTGCCATAATAGTACAGGAAAATGGTGCAGAAAACATGCGGGATTGTTCGAATTAGTGTTAAAATTAAAGCAAAAAATTTTGGCAGAGGTATAGAGGTCAATACCCTGAGTAAATCTGGATAGGACGTCACGCCCTTAACTGAATACTTGCAGTTTTATAGTCATGGAATTTATCATCTTTAAAACGGCAAAAACACCGTCTTTAAGTTAAAGCACAGGTCCAGAATTTATAAGAGCGACAAAGTACAGTATAATGCACATACTACTCATAGAACCACGCCCTCCAAGGGATATTTTAAGAATTGATCTGAAGCCATTGTTCTCGCTAATTTGAACATACTAAGCCTCGCTTTGGTGTGCTGTTTGTTACGTCACAATACAAATGTAATTGTTTAAAATCTTTAAACAGGAAAAATTTTAAAGTAAAACTGATGAAATTAGAATTCGTACTGGAGTTGAAACAACTCAGTCTTTCGGAAGTTTTCGTCATTAAAAGAACCAACCAAAATCACCGGATAAAAAACAGAGATGATCTCGGAATTCACACAAAAACTAAAGGTATTAATGAGAACTGAAGCTCAAAACAGGAAAGCCAAATATTGCACGTTCAGTTGCCTCGAGAGGTTACGGAAACTGAAAACAAAGACAAAAACCAAACAAGAATGAAATGAAAACAAAACAAGACAACTATTCACAAGGACAAGTACATCTGTTTATAAATCCAAGGTTCACAGTCATTAATGTCAAATATTTGACTGTCCACATTTAAAGAGATGTCATCAAATTCATGTAAATAAAGTACTTTACCGATCACACGTGTAAGAAGAAATATCAATGGAAAAAGGACGATGTCGAAAAGGCACCAAACGGTGAGTAAGAGCCACCACAGTCTTGATAGTTTCCTGTTTTCATAACCACCATACCAACGTTCAGTCAAAAAGTCTATAATCACAGGATGATCGAAAAACTGCCAAAAAAATAAACAAATAATCAAAAATAGATTTTAATATATTATATATAAAAATATTATATTTTATACTTGGCAAATCGATGTTTCGTCAGTAAATAAAAGCTATATTTATGAGATGATTTCGACAAAATTCCGACATTTTATAGTTCAGTCCAATTTTAGCCAACTGGCCTTTTTCTTCTTTCTTGCTTGCTTCATCTTTGCTAAACTCTAGTTTTTACTTTAACCATTCTGGTTCCTCATCGAAAAAAAACTGAACCTGTTCGCACTGCGACAAGAAATAGAGTTTGGCCTCTGCAAAGAATTGGAAAATTTTGTAATTACTAACACTTTAAAGATGCCTGCAGCTGTTTGTCAGGCGACAATATCCCATGTTCCCTTATTTCGACAGCTATCATTTGTAGTGTCATCTTATTTCACGAACGTTACCAATTAACTTTATAGTAATTGGTTACATGAACAATTTCGCTCTGTCTCATTTCCGAACACGGTTTCAAAAATGAAAAAAAGCAAGAAACATTGATGCAGGCGCCAATCAAAAGGGAAATGCTAGTAGTTGCGAACTGTTGTACACGAATTTTTGTGAGCGTAATTAGTTCTTGTTTGTATAAAGAGGTTATCATAGTTTTCTGTACAGAAGCGTCGAGACATGTGCTTTTTATTCATTAAAACAGCGGTTGTTATAATCAAGAGTACCGCAGTCTCGTGATTGCGTGAATAGCGCGCGCACTGCAAAAGTTCATGCAAACCCGACTTTTGCATGGACTGATTTAGCAACAGCAGAGGAACGTCAGTTGACGACGGGATAGCGCACGGAAAGGACTAATATAAAATACGACTTTCGTTGCCAATTTGCCGCTCTGCTATTACTCAAGCCAGTTGTTTGATTTGCCCTTGCTCTCCTCAACTCTGTCGTTCCCGTTTTGTTGCTAAATCAGCCTAATTTACTCAGATAATACACGTGCTCTAATTTAACCAAGAGCTGTGTTTGCAAGAGGGTTTGTAGTAATGACGTCACGATCTTTCGCGGTGCACGCGCTACATTTACGCGCAACCACTTCGCTCTTTATCTTCAAGATTATTCTCGTCATTTAATAAGAAGATCGTCCCATTCCTCTTGCATTCCTACTATTTAAGAAAGTTATCAGGAGGACAGAGGGCGCTTATTCGATAGGGGCGCTTGTTTGGTATTATTACGGGATGAGCGCTTATTCGGGGACGGGCGCCTATAGGAGCGTAGGCCCTTATCGACGAAATACGGTACACAGATAATGTAACAGGTTAAATGAAAAAAAAAGTTAAAAATGAACTTACAGGACAGACCAGCAAACGCGTTAAGATGCATTTAGCCAAAATAAAAATACCGTTTGTTGAAATGAAAAGTTAATAAGCGCCTCCCTTATTCAGCGTCGTCCTTCCTATAAGCACCTCTCCTTTTAGCCGAAATTTTAAATAAGCGCTGGGGTGCTTGTTCGAGGAAATACGGTATTCATATAGCTTGCAAAATGTAACGAAGTTTCAACAAGCTGCCTGGTAACACCACCACTAATATTATTCTAAGTGAAGGGTTGGGAAATGACCTTAATGCCCAGGCATGTGACTGCATGCTTACATTAGAGTTTGTTCTACAGAATTGCAGCTGCAGCCTTGTACTAAATTCTTCACCAACACTCCAAGTACGGCTTCTTTCGGCAGATTATGGCACTGATAACGGTCCTAGTACCGTTTAATAAAATCAAAACCCAGTCCGGGAGCTGACAACCAAAGTTGTGAATAAACAAAATGACCATTTGGATTTTAAAAGGGAAAGACCGTGTCTAAGAGTCACTATCTAAAGCCGCTATAGATTGTCTTCATACAATCTTTACCGGAGAGCTTTTGTGCAAACACAAAAAGAAAGCACACCGGATAGGGCTTCTGTTTACGCAAAGAAGATTGATTTCGGCCCGAAAAAGCAAAGCCGCGACGCGCCGATCTCTAAACAGGAAAGTCGCATACCGGATAGGTGTTCATACTTTACCGGATAGCTTTTTGTGTCTTCACGAAAAACTATCCAGCATAGTGTGAACTTAATTATTGCTCGTCTTGTTGTGGCCGTTTGCTACTTCACCCTTCTCCACCCCTCTAAATTGAATTACGTGACTTACAAACGGCTGCCTGCAATTCAAGATCGTGTGAGCACCGACATTTTTGTGTCATTCTGTTGTAGCAATGAGATGTAATATCTGGTATTAGTATATACACACTCAGTGATCTTGGTGATTTAAGCAATCTGATTGGTTTGCTATCTCGGACTATTCAACAATATTCACCTCCTAGCGAGTATATAATGTGTGAGCTCGGTTTTTTCCCATTTTCTTAGAGAAAGATCTTTTAAAAGTCGACAAAATCCTAGGGTTGTCTTTTTTTCAGGCAAGAAAAGACTTCGAAGGATTCAAAACGGCGTTTTTCCATTTACTGTTGTTGAGTTTTGTGGTCGATGGATTGTTTACAACTCCCATTTATTCGCCTAGAAGAGGCCGTTTCGTGAACTCAGCGTTTCCTAACAAGAACAATTAGGCTCAAAAACGAAGTTTACTTATGACAAACAAATGTGAAAGCAAATGTTTGCAGAAATTCTACGTTTCGAGAAAGAATGCCACATGAAGACGGCGTCTTACCTCGAGGAACCGAATAGCCATTTTGTCAGCACTTCATGCGAAGAACGACACAACAAACCTTTTCGGCTATAAACTTGGCAAGTCAACAGAAAACAACAAAGCTCTTCTTTTCTTCTCAGGTAAAGAAACAATTCAAACTTTTAGCGGTTCCATTTAAGTCATTACGCTGTTGTTTGCGAAGTGATAAGCTCGTGAATTGCCATGTTTGCAAATTCTACAAAGATCTATTTTTAAACTGTCGCGTGTCTAGCTGACCTGATCTGTCAATCAAATCGTACTTTTGAATGGTTTCCTCTCTGATTTTGTTGAGATCACTTCGAGTGTATATACTAAAACAATTGTTCTTTTCGATCTCGGTGAATAGTGGCTTTAGGAATATTACCTCGCCACGAATAACGTTGACAGTTGGCGTGGTAATACACGTTACAAGACAAAGATGAAACGACTCGATAATCGGGCTAAAATGGCCTTGTTGGACTCGTCTTTTGGAGCAGATTTTAAGGCAAGAACAATTCAAAACGGTTTTTCATCTCCTGTGGGTTTACACAAGCGAAGGGACTAAATTTTGTCCGACTCGCAACTTCAAAGTTGACCGCGGAAAGTCAATGAATACACATGCAAATATCTTCATTTTTAACAGGTTTTGTAAAGCTCTCGCGTCGCTAGTAATCATTTTCCCAAAAAAACTTTTACAGAAATCTGTAGACCATCCTTCTAACATTCAACCACCAGCAGCTGAATCGATTTGAAGGTTTCGCACATGGTTAAATGTATGTTTTTTCATCCATTATATTTACTGAAGTAAATTGTGTGCCTTCGACATTAAATTATTTCGTACACAAAGAACAGAGCACTATCTCCTCAAATCATTTTAACAGGTATTTAGAAGTTGTAAAAGAAAGCTGTGGTGATTTAAAGACGGTAGAGTCATCGGTTTTTGCACGCGAGGCTTTTAAACCCATGTAGTAATTGAGCGCCTCAAATGACGATTTTAACGGATTAATGGAATTTGGCTTTTTATATTCCTTCCCAGACACTTATATGAACTTGTAAATGTAACTGCATGGTGTGTTGTCTAGTATAGGATACATACCGTAGGTCTTAACCAGGAAGGGAATCATCATCAAGCAACAGAAAAACAAATAATTAAGATGAAATCCATTAGGAAAACCTGGCAATAACCTTGTACCAGAATAATTTCAGGCATAGTGCATTCTTTTTCACAGTTTTCACGGGCTATAAAATAATGCATAAGTTGTATGGAATAACTGCGAAGAAAAGGTTCTTTTTGGAGCCTGAGAAAACAAACTTCACAAAATGAAATCTTATGCATGGCAATTTTACCTGTGTGTTTTCTCGATTTCGGTGAAATTTGTAATGTATTTTCTCAGGGGCTCCCATAAGAAATCGTCTTTGGTGTTATTGTAATAACACCAAAGATAACTAATTACATCTATAGGTCTAGAAAAGTGTAAAAACAGAATGCGATATGGCTTGAATATTCTGGTACAAGCCTTTTGTCCACTGAAAATTAAAATTACTCAATTTCCTAATGTATTCCGTACACACACTATTCTTCATTTTTATACACATCCGTTTGCCATCTCCGCCCGCAAATAGCAAAAGCTAGACCAGTCGGGCGGAGAGGAAAGGTTACAGTAGTCACAACGGATGATATTGTAAAGTAACTAAATCAACTACGTGGATAAATAAGAATTACAGAAAAACAAGATAAAGTTACAAAATATATAGTCTTATTATATAGTCTTTTGTCTTAATGCATTTATGATTAAAAAAAACAACAACAACATAAGCTTTATCTGCATGACTATAATTATGTAGTTACAGTATTGCAAAAGCTTTAACAAAACAAAAAACACAAGAGCAGGAACTAGACTATTGCAGTGTTTTTCGGGAGTTTTTAAAGTAGCGGACATATATCTGAAGGCACCGAACAGGAATTCTTTTTTTTTGGAGCTGCAAGGCGCGTTACGAGCGCGGAAGGTGCGAGCTACCTAGGGAGGACTGAAAATTGGGAAAAAAAATAGAACATTTAGAAAAGCTGTTTCCAGTGGAATCAGTTTCCCAGGCAAGACTGGAGTTCACTCAAATTGTAATAAATAATGAATGAATAAATAAAAAATGATGCATTAGTATTAATATTTTTGGTAGTTAGTTTTCAATGAATTAACTTACAGTAACAAAGCGGTGATATGTGGCTTACTTGATGATAGCCTCTTTACTATTACCTTTTTCTGTTTAAGTCGTAATGCTGTTCCAACGATAAAATCCGTTTCAGGATTGCTAAAGAAATCTTGGCGCTCTTTTTCTTCGTATTTCAAAGGATCCAGGAAGCGCAGAGTAAATTCTTCCACGCGACTGGCCAGTTTTATGAAGTCGTCTTTATCTAGTTTGTTCTTGTCTGCCCGACTATGGAGCTCTTCAGCGACCTGATGACAAACATAATGACAAAGAATAATTATTACAAGTTCATAGCCTAATAAGTGAAAAAGGTTCGAGGTTACAGCGTCTAACAATTGCTTGGTCTTTAATTTTAAACTCGTAGGAAGTGAGAGTAAAGAGGACCTCATACAAGAGATGACCTACATAAAGCCCAAACATGCCTTTAAAACATACACATTTCAATTTACAAATAGGCCCATGCCAGTCCTCATCAAAACAATGGAATTTCGAAAAACCAGGAATTATGGAACTTTTTGCGCACATTTGATATTATTAAAATGGCACCCGTAAAATCGTGGTTTTCATGACTATTTGCGCGCTCACAAAGGATGCCGACACATGTCGCGTCCTTTGACTCTAGACTGAAGTGTTAGCAATTTTTTTTCCAAGCCTAAGAAAACAGCCGACATTTGGCGACGCTACCACTGGTTTCCCCGTCATCAATATGGAATTTCTGTACTCGTTTCTCAGACGTCTTTTGGTGGGGAAACCATTGGTAGCGTCGCAAATGTCGGCTGTTTTCTAAAGCTAATTGTTTTCCTGATACATCTTAAACTTTATATCAAAGGTTAAAAGTTTAGGGAAGCTCTGAAATCATGACGATCTTGGTAGTACAATTTGACAAACTGTTTCTTAAGAAAACAGCCCATATTTGCACCACCTTTTGAAACTGGCTTGCTGATGTTCAATTGAACGTTGCGTGGGAAAAAATGTACGGTTCGGGTTATGTTTGGAACAAGATCTTTGCTGCTGGGAAAGCCCTGAATATCCAGTCGAAAACCCTCGGCTGGAGTGGGATTAATGGTGAGCTACACGGTTCAGGCAAGCAATGGTAACTAATCATTCCTTACCCTTATTGCAAGTAGCAAAGGATTGTCACCGTAATCCATCAGAGCCTTTGCTGTAACTTTTCCATGGACTTTGTGATACCTTTTTTCTTGTACTGTCTGCAGTAATAACTTCTCGCGCTTTCTCTCTTGAATGGCAGGTAAATAAGAAAAAAAATGATTTTCAAAAATCAATATTAAATCAATTAATTGGACGATCTAAATACGTAAGCTTGCTATTAGATGGACTCAAACTGCCTCAATTTTCAGAGTTTGCTTCACGGGAGACCTTAATGAACACGCCAACACGTTGTATAAATATACGCATATACCAAAGAAATTATTTTGGTGGGAGCGTCTGGTTGATCAAACCGTATAGAAAGTATGACTGGTTTTTGATAAGAGGGCCATGAAGTGGCAGAATGGGAAGTGAGTTTTGGCTTTTTTTTTTCATTTTGAATACTGTGCACTACGAATCTCTTTTTCATGAAAATCCCATGAAAATGTGTTGAAAAAGCCATGAACCCTTTTTCATGGCAATGAAAACAGCAATTTAGGATTTCATGGCGCTAAATTAAGTCATGAAATTTCCATGAAATTCTTTACCAGAGTTATTTTCATGAACCATGAAAAGTTTACAAAGCCGTGAATATAATTGGTTTTCATGGGTCATGAAAGTCTCATATATGTTAGACCGATACATTTCATGACCCCTAAAAAGGCAGTTACAGCCTAGCATGTATTTCATGGGTGATGAAAGTTCTAATGGCCCATGAAATTCCCATGAAGGCACAATTAAAAACCCCTGAAAGTGTCCAACTCACACTAGCACAAAAGTAGACATTAATGCCTTAGAGAAATGTTGCACATATTTATTAATTCGTAATAGCTCTTGCCAGATCTGTTTAAACTTAGGTCAATAAAGTTCATGATGACACATACTGATGTTTCAATCTCTTGTAACTTAAAGTTGCACTTTATGATTCAACACCATTTTGACTCCTTAGAGTTAGAAAGGTAATGTTTTTGTTCTCTGAAGACTGAAGGTCTTGTTGTTCATATTCTCCGTCATGATATGAAATTTTAAAAAAATGTGGGATTTGTCCACGTTGCCTCACTGTCTTTCCATACTTGTCTTATTCTTTTTTTAGGCTTAACGAACGACAAATAAAAAGAGGGAAACTGACTCCAGTCCAGACAAATTGCCTTTGGGCCTGTTCACTTCTACTGCAGCTATCCCCGTGTTCTAATACTAGTAGTAGACTGCAGGTATTCAGTGCATGCAAACCACATGCATAGTAATTTATTAATTCATTGAAGTCATTTTGCCTAAATGTCCATTCTCCAATTGATTTGCCTGAACACATACAACGCTCTTTAGTACACAACACGCCTTGGATTCCATAGCGCGATTTACCTAGCAAGATCGAAGGGCCTCTGCTCGAGTTACCTATTCACTGTCCATAATACTGAAGTCCACATGTACCTCAGCGATTGCAAAGTTAGCTTGGTAAATTCTGAGATATTTTGCGTGAAATTTTCTTATCGGAAAAAAAATCTTTTGATCCACAAGTGCAGTAAGCAACTGGCGTATTCAAAGTGTCTTCTTGTACCTGAGCTATTCCAAACAATGTCTACAACATGTCTTCCGTTGAAGCTTTGTAAGTAAGGCCATCCTTTTTTTGCCAAAAAAAAAAATAGGAATTGTTTCCCTTGCTGCTGACACGTCAAAAGTTTTGGATTATTTCATTCAGTTCCTAAAACCACCGCTTTTTAGACTCATTAAACGCGATCACCGAACGGATTACCCGCCATGTTTGATGTTTGAGCTGACTAGACTACGAAGAGGATCACGGAGATTTTTCCCCACAGCTGATACAATTCGGCTTTATTTGCACTTTTTATTTCGTTCTCGCAATTCCCAAAAAGAATACCTACCTCCTAATTCATTCCATGCAGATTTCGGCAAATTCATGCAGATTTCGGCAGATCTCGTGTCTTCATTGTTGTTCGTTCTCTATTGCTATTTTTTTGTTACTTTTTGTTGTGATTATGTTGGGGGTCATCACATTGAATTGCATTTTTTGCTTTGATTTGTGTAAATTTATTAAATATGATAAAAAGGTATGTATTGCTTAATTAAATTCGGACATATTTATGCAGTTCTACTATTCTGCACTAATTTGCTGACAACCAATTTATGCAGATTTACCAATTTGCCTAATTTTGCCTTAATCTGCTGTCGGCAATTTACAACCAATTCATGCAGATTCAGTAATTTGCCTTTTTCTGCACTAATTTGCTGACAACCAATTTATGCAGATTTACCAATTTGCCTAACTTTGCCTTAATCTGCTGTCGGCAATTTACAACCAATTCGTGCAGATTGACCAATTTGCCTAATTTTGCCTTAATCTGCTGTCGGCAATTTACAACCAATTCATGCAGATTCACCAATTTGCCTTATTTTGCCTTAATCTGTTGTCAACCAATTACTGCACACTTAGACAGTTTTTCTAATTTGACTATTTTTGCATTAATCTAACCACTAACCGGTTAAGGCATATTTATGCAGTTTATAACACATTTCTGCATATTTATTCTAATTTATGCTAATTTAGGCATATTTTGGCAGATTACGTGAATTAATATGTGATATATGTATGAGAGGAACGAAAAATAAGCAATTGCGTGTTTATCTGAAATATGAAAATTATTTGACCGATAAAAAACAATTCGATAGATTGATCAAAATTTTAGATCATAAACAGCGAAGGACTAAGTCAAAGAGAGAGAAGCTGTGGGTTAATACTGAACTTTCCGCCTTGATTAAATTGCATAACAAAACCTTCTTGTAATCTGCTTTAATCTGCTAACATTATTTCATGCCAATTCATACTGATTTATGCAGATTCATGCAAATTCATTCATTGTACCTTAATCTGCCTCATTTTTTTTTCTCAACGTATAATAATATGACTGAACAACAAATTCTTGATAAATATTTTTTAATTAAAACTGATAATGTTCAAGAGTCACAATTAATGATTCCTAAGTTACGGTCCGTTATGAGAAAACTTATAAAAAATGGTATCAAAATAAAAACAAAATTGATTCTTCCGAACTTGAAAAAGAACCTCGTATTTTACGCGATTTGCGCTCTCATCTTCAAAATATTTGTGTCGGTTGTTATAATTCTAAACCACAAACTGGCGGCGGTAACGATGTAACTAAAAATGTCACTAATAATGATACAACAAAAAATGACATAACTAATTTTGTAACAACTAATGATGTAACAAAATCGGTAACTAAAAATGATGTCACTAAATCGGTAACTAATAATGATGCAACAAAATTTGTGACTAAAAATGATATAACTAAATATGTGACTAAAAATGATAATACAACAACACCTACTCTTCATTCTTCATATAAGTTCTCTACTACTAGTCAGTTCCCTTCACAATCTAATACACGTAGTAATACACATTCTGATTCTGATAGCTATGCTACTACAACTGAGTCTGATAATGATGACACGCAATCTGATACTCAAAATAGTGTTACTCGCAATATACCAACTAAATCTGTTACAAAAAATAGTGTTACTCATTCTGATATTAATAATTGTGATACTAACAATCGACTAACTAAATCTATTACAAAAATAGTGTTACACATTCTGATATAAAAAATCGTGTTACTAACAATCTACCAACTAAAAATAATTTCACTGTTACTGCTACAGAACATAATGTTACTCCATGTACTAAAATTGATCCTGCACCTTCTTTGCGACAATTCTCTACTACTAGTCAGTTCCCTTTACGTTCTACTCAATCTGAACTAAAAAACATAACACCTCAAACTACTCCTCTTCCTCTTTCTCAATCATTGCAATATCCGGATAATGTTTTCACTCCTACAATTAAAACTGTCACTAAAACTGAACCCTATAAACATCATTTAGCTGCTGATAAAAATGGTCGCATGAGAAAATACTATGATCTGTCCGATATTCGACCTTCTAAAACTACTGAACAGGTCGTCGAATTTGATCGTTTAAATTATCAAAAGGTTACTGAATCTGATGGTTCTGTTACAAAATATTATGATTTGTCTGATCCCATACCTAGAGGTCAACCCCATACACAACCTAGACTTACTAACTGGACTCTCTCTACCGCCAAATAAAAATTGATTTTGTTTTTCTCTTTTTATGTTATTGTTTCATATCAAGATGAATATCAAGATGAATATCAGAATGACTTGTTTTGCGTTGTGTGTTGTACTAGTCTCTTTTTGTTGCGGTTATGAGAATTATTCGGCGTCCTTCCAACATGAATATACATCGGACTTTAAAAACCGCTCGTATATGACAAGTGTAAATTGTAGTATGTGTGAAAACTGTAGGCATTTGGAACTGCCGTTACAATTAAAAGTTAAATGGAATGAAGATAAAACACAAAAAATATGCGACAATAATTATACATATGTTTATTTGAATAACATAGAGTATTGTATCAAATGGTATAAATGTGAAAGAAATTGTATAAAGTGGTATTTAATCATATTTTCGTGTAAGCCAGAATTATGGTGCAATGTATATAATATTTATAGGTATAATACAATACTTGACAATCGAGAAATAGTAACATTATGTTATCGACGGTCGTCTCAAATATCACAGGTGACAGATACAGCAATATTTGTCAAACTAACAGTAACAACATTAAATACGTTAAGTATATTAACACCAACAAATATTTTAGCAACAAAAACGTATAATCATGCGTCGAGTATAGCATCAAGTATGTCATTAAGAATGGCATCTAGTATGGCATCCAGTATTTCATCTAGTATGGTAACAAGTATAGCATCTAGTATGTCATCCAGTATGTCATCCAGTATGTCATCCAGTATGACATCCAGTATGGCATCTTGTATGCCATCAAATTTAAATATGTCATTAAGTATGGCATCTAGTATATCATCTAGTATATTACCAAATGTAATATTATTATTAGTTATGTTTTGTTTAGTTTAATGGGTTTATTGTTGTCGTTTTGTTGTATAATTGTTGCTTCTGATTTATTTAATAAAGGAATAATGTACTTACTAAATGGACTCTCTCTTCTGCCAAATAAAATTGACATTATTTATTACTG